TCAATCTTTATATCGGACAAATCATAAATAAATATTCGCCAATAACTTAGTTCACTTACCACATTCGAGACAAAAGTGTATCGTTTTACTTATGAAGAATACGTGGCTAAATAATTTGACCCTTATATTAGTGATTTATGCCATTTCAATACGAACAGAAAAAGCTATTAACGTCAGTTATTGCTCATATAATTTTCCCTCCTCAGACAAGTTACACATTAATATGTCAGTCCCTTCAAAAATGAAGATACTCATGATGGTTAGATTTGTTTATGTTTGTATACAAGAGACTTATTCGATATTTACAAATAATTCAGAACAGTGTTATCTCAAACTGCATTTATCAAACAACCACCAGACATCCTTGTTCAACAACTCCATTACGGTGGTGAGCCAAATGTTAAAAGTTTTTGAAGACCACTTTCGTTTCAACAAATCTGACCATACTCTATTTGTGACCAAATAAACAATGCATTTCACTTACTCGAGTTCAGATTGATACAAATGACCACACTACAGTTGGTTTCATATTCACTCAGATGGTGAAAAACAACTACGTCAAACTCCTGGTTGACTGGGATATAAGCTGTGTAATAAGCACAAACATTATGAAAATTGACGTAAGACGGCAAAAATGCTGTTCACAGCTAATAAATAAATGCATCCAAAATACTCGATGATATGTGGTGTGAGCGAGAACACATAGAATAACTTTTCTCCATGCCTGCAATGTGTGCTTGCACCGAATTTTCTACGTGCTTGCCTCGAATGTACAGAAGTAAATGATTTGCATCAAGTGGAAACTCAAATAAATAATAACAAAACGGTAGTAACATACGTTTGGTCTCATTGCTACTGGTTCGAGCATAAAGGCGAGGAGGTGTTATACATGTGCGCTAGTCTTCACATAATCACGCATATAAAAGAAATAATTTGAAAACAAATATAACCATACAAGAACGACAAAAGAACAATGAGAATAACGTATTTTATTTTGGGAAATGAGAATACCCAAAGTGTTGAAGTGTTAGTTTTCTTCGTTTAATTACTTGGTAAGGTCCTTCGTACGGTTGTTTCAATGACGTTTTAACTGCATCGACTCAGACAAAAACTAATTTACAAGTCCACAGGTCTTTATCAAGTTGTACGCGGTTGTTATGTTCACGCGAAGGTATCGCTTTAATGTTTTGCATTGTTTGTGGTAGACGGCTTACGAAACCACTGTTGATTCTTGATCAACCAACTGACCTGGCAATGTTAATTTAGTACCATAAACTAGTTCAGCTGAAGTGCAACATAAATCATCCTTGATGGTGGAACGAATTCCTAGGAGTACGAGAGGTAGTGCATCACTCCATTTCTATGTATCAGCTTGTGCCATCAGTGAGCTTTTCAATTGGCGGCGAAATCTTTCGACCAGACCATTAGCTACTGGATGACAAGCTGTCGTTTTAATATGGTCCACACGCAGAAGTTTTGTAAATTCCTGAAATAGGATAGATTGGAACTGGAGACCACGGTCTGTAGTAACGATTGATGGTACTCCGTAATTTGATATCCATCGGCCAAGGACTGTGCCTGCTGCTGTATCTGCAGATGTGTCAGTTATAGGAAATGTTATTGCCCAACTTGTGAACCTGTCCACCGCCGTGAGGATATGCGCGAACGAATTTGACGGTGACAGGGGACCGACTATGTCTAAACGAATGTGTTGGAAGCGTTTATCTGGCAGTGGAAACTTCCCAACAGTACTAATTGTGTGTTTTTGGATTTCGCTGCGTTGACATTGCATGCAACTTCGGGGCCATCGCTTTATGTTTGCGTTTATCTTCGGCCACACGAAACGTTCCGTAATCAGTTTAGTAGTAGCTCTGATTCCTGGATGTGAAAGTTTGTGAGCAAGCTTGAGGTACGAAGGGACGGTTACTGACCGTTGAAACGTCACAAATGATAGATGCGTTTGAGAAGGGAATGGATACAGGTTTGAGAATCAAGTTAGACTTTTCTTTGCAGCTCTTTAGGTCTGCATCGCCTACTTATAATTTTGCTATTGTTTCAAGATCACCGTCTTGCCAACATACGAGCGTATTGATATCCTTTCGTGATAGTGCATCGGCTACGACGTTATTATGTCCTTTAATAAATTGGATATCTGTTGCAAATTGAGAGATGCAATCCGATTGCCGTGCTTCTCGTGGTGAATGTCGATCGTAAGAGGTGTTGAATGAATGACATAGAGGTTTGTGATCCGCCATGTTAGTAAACGTACGCCCTTGTAATAAAAAAGTGTTTGACTGCTAAATCAATGGCGAGTAGCTCCCGTCCGAAAGTGCTACAACGTTCTTGAGTTGGTGATACTCGCTTGGAGAAGAACGCTAAGGGAGTAGTCAAGTTGTTTACTCGCTGTTGTGATACTGCCACGACGGCTTTCTGTGACGCGTCCGTACATGGAATCAGGTGGGTTTTGGGGTCAGCATTTAGATGTCATGACATAGTGGCGTTGGTAATCATGGACTTTGCCTTTTGAATGCCGTTTTGGCATCAAAAAGTAGCTTAAATATGTGGTTCTTTCCTTTGTTCATCCCTTTTTTATCACTTTTTTGTAAATCTGTTAACGGTTGTTATAAGTCTGCACAATCTGGTAGAAATCGTCGGTAAAAATAACATGTTCCGAGGAAACGACGTAATGATTTTACTGAAGCAGGTTCAGAGTAATTGATGATAGTGTAACAGCTTAGGTTGGTTGGTTAAGAGTTGACCCCAAACAACCAAGCATATGCCAAAACAGTATTGTTCAAGTATTCATTCACTTCCTTATTTTGTATAAGCGTTATATTCCCTATTATCTTATATTGAATGTTGAGAGCCTTTGTTTGTCTGAACAGATAATCCCACGCTCCACTGTGACTGCGCGAAGTTCGAAATAAAGACCTATTCACTACTTGTCTGGTTTCTTCTATCAATAGTACGAGGGTTACCTTAAGGCACGAAAATAGCATCGACTTTCTTCTGAAGTGGTTTAATGCCTTGACAGTCGATGTAATGTCCTAGAAACTCTATGGCTGAGATACCGAATATACATTTCGAAGGATTGACTACGACGCCATGCTATTTAAAACGGTCAAAAAAGATCTTGAGATGCTGGATATGCTCTTCAATTGATGGGCTGGCAATCAAAACATAGTCGATATAGGTGAATACAAAATCTAAACCTCATGTGACATCGTCCGTAAATCGTTGGGAGGTCTGAGCTGCAATTTTTAGTCCGAATGGCATTCTTAAAAACTCAAACAAACCAAAAGGTGTAATGATAGCTGTTTTTCGATGTCTTCTAGTGCCATCTGAATTTGGTGGTATGCTCGCACGAGGTCAAGTTTCGAGAAGGGACGTTTTTCAAGTCAGTTTAATGAGAACTCGTGTATGTGTGGGATTGGGTACCTATCTGGGATTGTTTGGTTATTTAGACATCGGTAATCACCACATGGACGTCAGTCTTGATCTTTTTTAAGTACCATGTGCAATGGCGAAGCCCAAGGGCTGTTGGATTGTCCAAAGATTTCAAGCTGCACCATGTGTTTGAATTCCCTTTTCGCGGTCTGCAACTTGTGCGGTGGTATTCTCCTCGCCTTGGTACAAATGGGTGGATATGTAGTGGTGATGTGGTGTTGCACTTGATGTACCGTGCATTCCTTTTGGTAATCAACTTTAGTGATACATTCGTATTTCGTTAGGATATCAGTGAAAAGATTGTTCGCAGGTTTTACTATTCGTATGCCATTAATTTCACAATCGGTCGTAAGAGTACCATTCACCTGCAAACGTCTATTCTGGTCAATCAACTTATTTTTGTCCGTGTCTACTAATAAACTGAAGGTGCTGACAAAATCGGCTCCGAGAATGAGTTGCTTGACTTTAGCGACTATAAAAACCCACGTAAATCTTCGGAGCCCGAGACGCAATATAAGGGATTGTTCACCATAAGTTCTAATGACCATGTCGTTAGCCGCGATAAGAGGCAGTTTGGTACTTGTCGTTTGTTGTCGTCGTGAGAGGTGAAGTGGGATGATGTTTATTTCTGCTCCTGTTTCGACTAAAAAGTCTGAGCCAGAAATACGGTTCCCGATATGCAAAAGGCGGCTAGTGTGTTGGCCAGTAACAGACGCCGCCATTACCGTCTGGCCGGCTCGTTTCCCTGGTTTTCTTGCTTGTTTGTTGTAAATTTGCACGGTTGTGTGTAGCGACGTGCTTTCTCAACATACTTCAGATGATACCAACAAATACCAGCTACCTGCTTGGGTGACCTAGGGCGCTGTCTGGACACTGATCTTTCTCTGGACGTGGATCCAGCAGGTCTGGAATGGGTTGTTGCTACAGTTACCTGCAGTGATGCCAGCTGCCTTGTTAACTGTGTTAGCTGTTGCTGGATGTTGAATGTGTGACACAAAACTTCTTTACTGGAGGCTTGAATCGGGGTATATTTCCATCGTTTTGTCTGCCAAATCTTCCAGGTTGACAGAATTCCCAGACACGCCAAGGATCTGTCACACATTGTGTGGTAAGGGTTGAAAACGCAATTGTTTAAGCGAGGTTTCGTCTAATTCGTACGGACCTGAGAGTTGTTTCATATGCCGTAACAAGTGAGATGGTCTCTTGTCACCTAGTTCGCATGCTGTTAACAGTTGCTGAAGTCTTTTTTCGTCAGATACTGATATGCGTTGTATCACAGCTACTTTAATTTTTTGGCAAGAATCGGTCTGTGGTACTTGGTCGATCAGGTCTCGACTTCAGTAGCGATTTAGATAGGAACTGCGCTTGTCATTCATATCTCCACAATGTTGGGCGTTAAGTCAATAAGTGAATACTAAAAGATTTTAAAGTTGTCACGTCGGCAAAAAATTTGTATAAGAGTAAAAGCCTTCACCCTTATATTTCGAATGACCGATTGAGCAACTTGCTATTTTGTTTTTCTTTTCCATTGTCATCTACATTTCATCATTCTCACTTTACAAGCGGTTGGTTTGTGTAAAGTATGAGTTTGAGCGGTACCAATGGTAGAGTTCCATACGACGAGGAGGTGGGGTTTTTACCAACCTTAAAAGATAGTCCTGATACGAATGAAAATGAAGCAGGACAAAAAGACACCTATCGTTTACTTACAAGAGAAGACTTGATGCAGCTAGACAGCAAAGAGCCGTTGTGGTTACGTCTTAGATGGGGTCTATTTATATTGTTTTGGATTGTTTGGATTGGACTCCTCTTAGCGGCAATCTTAATAATAGTGTTCACTCCCAAGTGTCCTCCAAGACCTGTTCTGCCTTTCTGGAGATCAAGTACTGGGTATTGGGTCAACCCATTTGCTTACGCGGATTCTACCGGTGACAAAATCGGAGATCTACGAGGTTAGTTAAGTTCATATCCTTCTTCTCTTACATTTAGGCTTGGTCGAAAGACTCGGATATATCAAAAGTACTATAGGTGCGGGATTCATTGTCCTCAGTTCTATTTTCTCCGGTCAGTTTACTAATGACCAGAAAACATTGGGTCTTGTGGACGATTTCTATACTATTGATCCTGCAGCTGGTACTATGGAAGATTTTAAGTATTTTGTGAGGTCATGCCACAAAAATGGTATTCATGTGGTCTTGACCATGGACTTTAATTCTGTCTCTGCGAAACATTCATGGACTGATTCAACGTCTATGCTCGAACCATATCCGAGTGGTGGACGGGTAAGAACATGATAAAAACGTTTCTACTATTTCGTTAGATTTCCCGTTTAGGTGGCGATGCAAGAACCGTTATACAAGGCACCGGATATTACTCTGTTTTTGGTTCACAGTTTGTTGATCTTAATCTGAGAGAGTCAGTTACATTAGATCGTGTTTCTGTAAGTTAAGCCGTAGCATAATGAAGTTTGAATCCATTGTAGGATGTGGCAAAGTTTTGGCTCAATGAGGGCATAGATGGCATTCTTTTAGACAATGTTGCTTTCTATGTTGAAAACAGTGCAGAACCCACCACCCCGATTACAAAAGAGGTGCGTTTTTCTCAGTTAATTTTATTCAATAGTTGGGTTCAAAATGGTTTGCTAAATATCCGACATCACAAATTTACCTGAATGAATCAGTGGAGGTCGTTCGCAGAATTAGAAAGGTTGTCGATGAAATGTCGGAGTCCAGTGGGAAACCAAAGTAAGTTACTTGTGTGTTACTGTAAACGTCTAAGGTTATTGGCAGTTGATGCTGGTAATACAGGATATGGTATTAGTGAGAAGGAAGACCCTTCCATGCAGTATCTCGGGACGAAAGATTCGCCAGCAGCACATGTAGTTGTAAGCCGTCAGTTTGTTAAGCAGCGTGGTTGGTAAGTTGTTCTATTCGAAGCTTATTTTGTAGGAAAGCATCTCCAACTAATCCTCTCGTGATAAACAACAATATTTTGACGTATGATATGCTAAGTGTGGATGACAGAGATTCCATGGCTTTGGCAGCTGCTTCAACTACTGACCCTAGACAGTCTGATCTAGTTGCTTTGGCTTCTACGTTTCTGCTTCCAGGTGAGCGTCGTCATTTGTGTTGAATTTATTTCCTTTTCAATACTATAAACAAACTTAGTGGTGATTCCTTTAACTTGCTGAAATTCCAATTGTATGTTTCAAATAAGTGCTTATTTAGTCTTTTAAGTCACTTTACATGACGTCACGTCATTTTACACACTATTGAGTTATGTGTCATGTGTGTTCTGCAATTGAGTCTGTCGTTTGTCATAAGAAGCTTAAACAATTGTTTTTACATCGGTTAAAAACGTACTGAAGAAGAACCATGAACTTGTTCCTGACTAAGTTCATTAGTATCCCGAGTAGTGGCAGTATTGAAGAGCTATAGAGATCTGAAGTCCCGAATTATCAAGCTACAAATTACCATTTATATCCTTTTACGTGTCAAGATTACTATGTACTAATAATTGCTTTATGAAATACTGATTTTGTTGCAGTAAAACCTTTCAGCCCCAATTACGCAAGATAACAATAAATTTACCTTTTAGCGTACGCTGAGATGTAATTCTGCGAATAGTGTGTTCTGCGTTCTTTAGTAGTCCCTTTCTGCACCAATCTGTATTGAGAGGTTGATGCCAGCTTAATTGGTACAACTTCATCCATTATGTATTGGATGTAGAAATTTCCAGGTAACTGTCTCTGGTTCCTTCCAAAGGTAAGAAACAGTGAACATGACAACAATCACGGGTTCTTCAGTCTAGTCTCACCGTTACTTGACATAGTGGTGTTTAAGCCCTTTATAGAAACATGTAAGTATTAGAAGTACGACTTTTAATTATTCCATTTGATGTAACGTGAGACCGAAAGATTTATTGCAATATCTGCAGAGTTATGGAAATCGATGGCCCAAACGTCTAAGTAAACCGATTAGTCATTCAGAAATGTATCGCTTCAAAACAGTATCAAACCCATCAGAACAGTTTGTGAATTTTCTAGTCAGTCACTAAAGATGTGGTGACAAATGCAAATTATCTCACGTTACCTTATTTGATATCAGCATAATAGGAGGGGTTTCGCGTAGTGGAAACTGAGATAAGAACACTGATGTCGACGGTAGTAGACAACTGCGTATAGGAAACTTAGTTCGAAGATAGCGAACGAAATTACGACTAGTAACAAGTTCAGAGCTCATCATCAAATATGGGATGGACGCATCTACATCACTGATCGGTTTTAACCTGTCTGAACCACAGCAACTGGAAACGAATTGCTGTCGATTTTTATGTTATTGTTTCAATAAATAACAACCTTAACGATTTAGCATACTGTAAACACAGTAAGTGAATGGGGAGAATGAATTCATTACCAATCTGTAAATTAGTTAGTTGTGACCATCATAATAATCCGTCACAATTACGTTGCTGTGTTCTGTCGCAAATACAGTCAGTTATTCCTTTAGCAAACCCTGTACTTTCCCTGAGTTTTGCAATTTTCGGGAGTATATTTTGTGCTTGCTGTATTTCTAGGCACTTGTCTACTGTATTATGGTTCGGAGTTAAATGAGGAGACGAGAAACACCAAATTCACTGTCGATTTTTACCCGTTTGATGAGAAGACTGTGTTCACTGGCTCTAACGAAACTGATGTACTTTTATCTCAATTAGCCATGCCTTGGGATCAATCTGGAGTTGGTTTTTCGGCGATGCTATCAAATGTTACTTCTTTTACAGAATATTTGAAAGCCTTTAAATTTAATGAAACAGTCGAGGTACGTATAGTGACTAGACTACTAGAGATCGAATATGCCAGAATGTTATTGACATTTGCTCTTAATTGTTAAATATTTATTTTGCGTAGGTTTTAAGGTATTAACATTAAAACTAACGGGATCGTTTGCATCAAACGCAAAATTTTCAACCAGTTTTGTCATGGAAAATTTCTCAATAGATTGCATAATAAACAGTTGTTTATAAGCTTGCTATACATGTCTAAAACGTACTGTCATTTGACACTGAAAAGCAAGTAGATTGCATTGTCAGAAAACGATTATCCAGCTTCAACTATCAAAGTATTAGTTGCTCACTCCTCTAGCCTTGAGTAACTGTCTGTTTTGTTCAGTACTAATCACGCATTCAACTAGGTTGATAAATGTAACCTGAAATAAGTTAATGTTACCTCAAATACGTAGTTACGGGAATTAGAAGCACTGACTGACTCCCGATATATGATCAGAGTTGCTTCAATTTTAACATTCAAAATGTGATTCTTACTATGTCGTAGTTAACCACTCACCCAAACCTCCTTTAAATTTTCACTGCAGATTTTTCTGGGTGAAACTTCCTTTTCTTGTCATTGTAGGAGTTCATTTTCTAGAAACATATGTTTTGTATAGATTATAATATTTTCAATTTCTGAAAATACAACGTGTTAACTGTGAGCATTCATTTCACTCAGTTCTCTTTATTGCTTCTTGGCTTAAAAACGTTTAGTTTATTTCGTATATTTGTTTTTCATGAGATGTTAACTAGTCTAATGATGACGCTCAAGATATCGATGGCTGTTGATGTGCATAAAATCGGTTCCCCAAGTGTTTTGTTGAATTAAAGTTGTCATGTACAAATAATGGATCATCTGTCTTCCCATCTGTTTTAGTCCGCAACATCAAGTGGTCGTGGGATTACTTCTCTCTCACTTGTTCAAGATCTTGTAGCGATCCGTAAAAATGAAAGCTTGCTTTGGGGAGGTTTCAGGATGTTGCAACCCAGTCGCATTGTAAGTTGATTATTATTGTACTGATTTCTTGCATCATTTTTAATTTGATTGTAAAATTTGAGGTAATACTTCTCTTTTCAGCAATGAACCTGATACTTAGTTATTTAGATACTGCACGCAGTTACTGGGTTATCAGTTTGTATTTCATCTCACCCGAGTAGTCTTAGTGATAGTTGCACAATGTGTGTATAGACTGTAGTGGAATTATCATACTGTATGTTGAAGGGCCTATCATGCATTGTCTTTCCGTTTGTATGCAGTATTGTGTCAACGGTATGATTGATCAGTGACATACTCATACACTGTTGAAGAATAATGAGTTTCATTCACACTAGGTACTTGGGTACGAACCATACTCTATGTGGGAGTGCTAATAGTACTATTTGAATTCCCAAGTCGAAGTAGGTGAATCGGGGTTCGAACTTGAGACTAGTGGCTAGAAGTCGAACACTTCTTAACTTACACCGCTTACCAACGGTATAATATTCATCCTAAAATGAACTAATATTATTTAAATTCTCTTGTAAAAATAACGAGATGCGTACATCAAAACAATCAATAACCGAATGCTTGTTTACAGTAGTTTTGTGATTCATTTCTCTATCAGGCTTTACGAAGAAATGTTTTTGCAATTCCCTCCTTGTATTTCAGACAGAAGAGTTGAATTTTGAGATATTTGAACGCAAAGCCGAAGGTTTCCCAGCTTTCATAATTGTTTTACGCAAAGAGTCCAATGCGGTCAGTGGGACATTTGACTTTTCTAGTGTGTGCCCTAGCATCATTCCAAAAATAATCTATCCTCCAAATAAAAACTTCCCAATTGATCAACCAGTTAGTAGTCACGTGTTTACCTGAAATCTGATGGGCAACCTATGATATATGTTTTCAAATGTGAATGAAATAAGTAAACTTACCGAGGTTTCATATGTATGCAGTCAATAACTGGTTTGTTGTGCTTGAACTGTCAGCTATTACTTTTTCAACTTATCGAACTTTATCTGTTGTAGTACAAAATGCTTTCTTAGTTTACCGCTAAATTGTGTGCTTATGTTCATTCCGACCAATTTACAAATATATATTTCTTTGCTCAAACTCCTCAGACTTTTGTACTGTTTAAAAATGAATTGGGTATTACGCGCATTATATTGAATAAACGGTTATTATTAAATTAAGATCAGCCTAAATTACTTATATACATAATGTGGTTATTGACGAGATTTTATGAAGTGTATTAAAATAAACAATATGATTATCATGTAATTTGAAATTTTGTAGGATTGTTTTTGTGTATCTCTATTGCTAATTTCACGAATAAATGATCTAATCACCGGGACTAAAATGGAACTTAAGTTCAAACGTTAAGGACTGTCCCAACCAGTTTAAAAATATCTTTCTCATATAATGTGGATGGAGGTAGTGTACTGGATGTCTTGAACTCAAATCTCGTGCTATTTGATACTTATCAATAAAAGATAACTGTAATCTTGAGGAAACTGGTATTTCCTGTTAGGTTCGATCCCGTGTCACCAAACCGAACAGTCTGAGACGTTACCACTGAACTATTGGGGCAGTAACTCACTTATCGAATTTTTTTCTACAACAGACTCGATAAACTGAATTAGGGGTGATCTTGAATTTTTAATCCAAGTAGTGAGTCTTCTATCCGATCATTCAGTATGCATACTTTAGGATATACACGTTGATCAATAAATGTAGTGCCAGGAAACTAGAGCAGACATCTTGTCTAACTATGAATGCATAATATAATATACAGTTTAAAGTAAAAATGAGTCCACACTGAACATTACTGTGTTAATCTGTTTACTGGTTTATACATTGTTCAATCTCAAGTGTAAAACGGTGGATTTCATTTCTACACGTATTCATATTCTTGAGTCAGTTTGTCCTAATATTTCCTTGATACATAGTCGTCAATAAATGGCCTCAAATACAATCCATTGCCTGTCAATCGCGTGTCATCAAATCTCTTTTGCAGTTTACTGTATCGAAATTGTCAGTTGGAATATTAAAGATTCCCATTTTGAAAATTAGGACAACACATATAAGCGAACAATTGCTTTCAATTAGATCGTATATTTTGTTACACGGCATTTTATCATTAGGAAACTATTATTTGAGTGTTACACTTAGTCACTACTATTCTATCAGACAGATTATCGAAAGTTATCCACAATACACCCGAATTAGATGTATAATATATTGTGATTATTATGTAATACGAAGATTTCAGGTGTTCATCTGTCGATGCTTTCCAACATTACTCATTTGTACCTAACCGACTTTTTTTATTTATTTTTATTTGAACACATATATTGGTACAGGAGTGCGCCAAATATATATGCGCCACACAAAACAATGAGAATCTAAGAAGAAGAATAAGAGAAAAGTGGGGAACGTAAAAAAAGATATAAAAAAAACAATATTGAAGAGATTGGTGTAAGGTAGTGTAATAATAATAGTAATAGTAGGGGAACAGAAGGGTACAATCAGAAGAAATCTTTCAGTTAAAAATACAACCACGTTTCATGAAGAAAGTGAAAGAAGGTTACAGCATGATCGCCACTGGCTTCTATTCTGAGCCATATCTGATAACGTCTCTAGCCACAGTGTTGTACCCCAACCAGGGAGTAGTGAAGGACCGGCACAAGCCAGCCTTCTGCAGCTTTCTTTCATACCACGACACCATGTCATATATTGACCACCTCTCCGCTTTCTCCAACCAGTCCCAGAGTCGGCAAATAATGCACGGCGTGGAATTCTCTGGGACGACATTCGTAGAACATGTTCAAGCCACCGAAGTTGGTGTTTCAAGATGGTGACACCTATTGCATTATCATCTCTGTCCCCGAACACACGATTCCGAACCTCTGCATTACTAACATGGTGTTGCCACTGGATGTCAGCAATCCTTCGGAGACAACGATGATCGAACACAGAGAGTCTTCTAACGTCCTCAACTCGGAGAGACCAGGTTTCACAAGCATAGAGCAAAACTGCTCTCACCGACGCGTTGTAGATCCGACCTTTTACAGCCAGACTAACATCACGAAGGCGCCAAAGGTGGCCCAGATTGGCATAAGCCGCTCTGACTTTCACTATAAGTGCATTGATCTCATCACTCACACCCCCACCAGCACTTATGCAGCTACCCAGATACACGAACTTCTCGATTATTTCTATCTGCTCACCATCCAGGGTGAGTACAGGATTAGGATCCTGCCAGTCTTGTAGAAGTACTTTGCATTTCGAAGGTGCAAAGCACATACCATACCTACGGACACTGATTGCCAACTGATTAAGTGCGGATTGCATGCTTTGGGCATTATCACACAGTAAGACAATATCATCCGCATACTCAAGGTCGAGAAGTCTCTCCAGGCAACAGATCCACACTGCAATTACTTACATCCATCAGAGCTGTTTCCGGAATGTCATCGATGGCAAAGTTGAAGAAGAATGGTGAGATTGGGCAACCCTACCTAACCCCACTGCTCGAATCGAACAATGGTGAGAGGTGGTTGTATGCCCTCACTCCGCCTGAGGTGTTTGTATATAGGGCTTTTAGGATGTTAATAAACTTCTCAGACACACCCTTCTTCAATAGACAATCCCAGAGAACAGTCCCATCCACTTTCATGTATAAGGGTTTCCAACGTTTAACTATTGATAAGAGTTTTGTTATTGTATTTAAGATTATTCTTACTATTATCAGTTCACCTGTCTTCCTACTATCAACTTGTACTTTTAACGATTGTGTGTAGAGACTTATTCTATTTCATTGTGATTATTGACTCATATTGCCTTGATTGGTTTACATTTTCGTATAAATATTCATGTATATTAGAGTAAAGCCTGATGACGATCTAATTGAAAACGATTGTTCGCTTATATGTGTTGTTCTAGTTCGAATATTACCGAGTTCACATAGAAAACACACGTGTACAATAATTGTAAACATCCTCAACTATTAGAACACTTAGTCGATAAGCTATCCACTTTACCAAACTAAGAGATTTGAACAAATTATACAGATTCCGGGAAACTTCAACTAACTTCCCTAACGAATTGTGATTTTGCCATTTTCTGAGGGTCAAATCAACAAGGAATAGAGATATTACTGGTAACATCCTCTCATCGACTACCCTTGAGGTGACTGGAAATGGTGACTCAATTATCAAGTACATTGAAACCTCATTTAATTTACCATAAATCTCATGTCTAAAAACATTTACGTAATAATGTAACCATGGATTTGTAAACGAGAACCCTACCATAATCATTATTGTTATTAGTGTTTTCGATGGACTCTGATGAACTTGCGACTTTGTCGATAGATTCTGAATGATGATTTGGCACAAACTTCCAACGAAAACATTTTTTAAATCTGTGTTGTATACACAAACGTTCACTTGTCTGTCTGGTCAAGTCAATTGCATTTGTTGTTAACAATTATAAGTATAGGTCAATGTTTCCAGACAGTGTGTAGAACGATTGAAAACAGTCAATATATGAGGGTTCACTATTCACAATCGTGCACAATTAAACTATACACATGGAAATCGCTGCCATTGTAAACTGAATTCCAAATAACAAATAACGTTTGTTAAACCCTCTTTGATCACAAGTTACTGCTCATTTATCACCCTCTCACGCTACTAGCTCATATCCCTCACTACCTTATGATCCACACTTAAATGTTCCTATGCTGTCAAATAGCGGTCACCTACATGGATAGTCAACTCCGCCTGTAGCTCTAATAGGGTTACTGCCGGTCCCAAGCCCGGGTAAAGGAGGAGGGTTGGGCATGGGGTTAGCGTCCCCATCCCGTAGAAAACTAACTCGCTAAAAAAACGCTTACCAGAAAAAATTATTCAAACCATTTAAACTCTGCCCTGGGAGTTAGAAGGTCTTCAGTTAGAAGAATTATGACGCTTCATGGTGAAAGCCGAGTTCCTTCGGAAGCCACGAGGCCGATGCCCCTTCTAACAACCAGAGCAAAAATTTTTATAGGTACATGGAACGTTCGAACAATGTGGGAAACCGGGAAGACCAGTCAAATAGCAATGGAAATGAGGAGATACAACTTAGCAGTACTGGGAATCAGCGAAACCCACTGGACCCAAGCTGGACAGAAAAGGCTAGCTACGGGAGAGATGCTGCTATACTCCGGTCACGAGGAGGACAATGCTCCACACACTCAGGGAGTCGCTCTTATGCTGTCCAAAGTAGCACGAAATGCACTTGTAGGATGGGAGTCTCACGGATCCAGAATCATCAAAGCATCATTCAAAACAAAGAAGGAGGGGATCTTAATGAATATTATCCAATGTTATGCACCCACCAATGATAGCAACGACGACATTAAAGATCAGTTCTACGAGCGGCTACAGTCAATCATTGAGAAATGCCAAGAAAGGACCTAACTATTCTGATGGGAGATCTAAATGCCAAAGTCGGAATAGACAACACCGGATATGAAGATATCATGGGACGACATGGACTGGGACAGAGAAACGAAAATGGAGAAAGATTTGCAAATCTATGTGCATTCAACAAATTGGTCATAGGAGGCACAATATTTCCACACAAGCGTATACACAAGGCTACATGGATCTCACCGGACCACACTACAGAGAACCAAATAGATCATATTTGCATCAACAAAAAATTCCGAAGGACAATGGAAGATGTGAGAACCAGGAGAGGTGCTGACGTAGCTTCAGATCACCACCTAGTTGTAGCCAATTTAAAACTGAAGCTAAAAAAGAACTGGACAAGTGGACAAACAGCACTACAAAGGTTCAATACAGCCTTCCTTCGAGATACTGACAAACTCAATGAATTCAAGATAGCTCTCAACAACAGGTTCCAAGCCTTACAAGATCTACTGAAAGAAGAAGAAACTAGTATGGAGGACAACTGGAAAGGCATCAAGGAAGCATTAACTTCAACGTGTCAAGAGGTTCTGGGCCTAAAGAAACACCATCATAAGGAATGGATCTCTATAGAAACACTGGACAAGATCAAAGAAAGGAAGAACAAGAAGGCAGCAATTAACAACAGCCGAA